GGAGGGTGCGGTGGTTCCGCGGGTGCGGTGGTTCCGCGGGTGCGGTGGTTCCGCGGGTGCGGGGCTCGGGGCGCCCGGAGCAGCGGCTGCTGGAGGAGCCGTGCCGGGATGCTGCTCGCCCCGGCACTCCCCGGGAGGGAGGCTGCTGCCCGGCGTGGCCAGGGACACGCGTCCCTCCCGGCAGAGATCACCAGGACACCACGAGGTGTAACAAATTCAGCTGCAGGAGAAGAGCCGCGGGTGCGGCCAGGAGGGTTTGGCAGCAGGGAGAGGGGGCCGAAAGGCAGAGATCTGGGATGGGTTTCCCCGAGCATCCTTGTCGCTAGACTCGCCGCAAAACTTCGAGAGAAATTTCCCCACTTTTGCACTTCACTGCGGGCAGATTGCCTCTGAGAACCTCTCTCTGGCTCCGCCACAAAAACCTGCCCCCGTCTTCACCGGCTCTGGTCTTGGGCTTGAATTTGGTCGGTGGTGCAGGGGCAATAACCAGCCATTCGTTTCGGTTGAAAAAGCAGAGAGCAAGACAAAAGCAAGGAAATTGAGCTTTCTGGAGACAGCCTGGTGTAGACTGGGGTTTCCACCCTTTAGGAAAAACTGTGACCAGGTTTCAAGTGAGGGATGGGACTTTGGACCCGTTTGGGGGCTGTGTGAGAGGAAGGCAAAATAATTATTTGGGAACGATTCCTCACGGTTCATCTGAGTGAAGAGACCGTGTGGGAGCACGGAGATGTTGGAGCACCCAGCCCCACCGACCTGCTCCAGCTTAGACCCTTTTCCAAGATGTGCCAGAGTACAATAGAAACACTCGCTAGCATGGCACTTCACCTGCACACCCAGCCCTGCAGCCAAATCCCACATCCCTCTCCAGACAGCAGCCTTACATTCCTGAGCTAGACAAATGATGAAAAAGTTCCAGTTACCGTCTAATGAAAGGCCTCCATCTCCCTTCCCCCAGAGGTTTCCGATGCACATATAATTAGCTCTCAATATTTCATGAATATGGGGTTTTACTAATTCCTTTTCACTCAGGAGATTTCGCATTCGCCGTTTTACCCTCTCTGTCATTTTGCACAAAGCCGTGGCTGTGGGAAGGGTGGCTGCGGGTTGGGGTGGGTTCTTTTAGCTGGATACACAACATCCTTCAGTCGCCTGAGGCCTCAGCCCAGACATCATGGGAGACACAGATCTCAAATGAAGGACCACAGCTTTTTTTTTTAATGCAGGAAATTAAATGTGCTGTGGGATTTTGGTCCTCTGGGGCAAGTATTTTTTTGCATGGGTAGCAATTCAGGAGCAGGTCTTCTGCTTCTGAGTTATAGCATGCTTTGGAGGGAAATTGGTACTTTCTGACCAAAAAAAGCAGGCATCTCAGACAAAGCAGGAGGCAGAAGTCAAGCTAAATGCCATCAAGAAATGTCCCATTAAATCTTAGTGACCTTCCACAATAACAGCTTCACATTGTCTAAACACTACACATGTAGTATTTATCAGGACAACTCCAAGCTCCCATTCTGTACAATGAAGGGGAAGACTTGGTCAGCATCATCTTTAATTTTTATTTTTCTTCTTCATCTAATGATGCCAGAGATATTGACTACATCTTTTTTTCTTTTTTTTTTTTCTCATTGTGCTCTACCCAAATGTATGTGCCTCGAGTAAAGTGATATAATGATAGTCCTGGGGGAATTTTTCTAAACACACTGCAAGAACAAAGTTTGGTCCTCTGGTTAAAGCAGACTTAAACTAATGGACTTTTCACCACATCCCTCAATGCTAAATACTGGCATTTGCAGTGCACTGGATGAGTTTCTGTAAAGGCAACCCCCAACCAGAAACAGCTCATTAAAAATCCCATTATCCCCATAACTCGCTTATTATTAGTTTAAATGACTGTCTTATGATTTGTAAGAGGGAAAACAAATCCTAAAATAAATGATACTTATAATCACTGAGCCTGGTGGGCAATGGATTTTATTTGCCACACGTTTTTAGTAGGATGTTAAAGAGGTTTTCCTATTAACAATAATTGCTGTCTCTCTATGTGGTCCATTGAAGGATAGCTTTGTTTTCTCACATTAAACTTTGTGAGTCACCAGTTATTGTGCTTTGCCTATTTCTTAATAACAACTTTACACTTATATGGGCCTTTTCCACCCTGCAATTCTATAGCTGCTTACTCGGAAGCCAAGAGGAGCTGGTGAAAGGGAGAGGAGTTCCCTGAGTGACTGACATGGATGCAGGATCAGAACCTGCAGGCATTCTGCTGAGCTCTGAGTCACGTTCAACAGGACATTTCCCTGTGTCAGAGACAGAGAGTTCATTCCCATCATGTCTGTCTGTGGGTGTGCTGCAGTGGGATTTTTTCTGTGCTCATCAATCCTTGGGGGTGACGGTGCAGGTAGTGAAACCCCACAGGAGTTGGCAAGTTTGGAGGTTATAAACCCAGGCCAATGCTGCCTAGAGGAAACATCTCAGAAGCTGAAAGTATCTCCTTTAGTTCTCTGGGGAGTGACCTGCAGCCGAAGCAGGACCCTGAGGGAGAAAGGGATTATTCATCGCTGCTCTGGGCTGAGAGAGCCAGAGCTGAGGTCCCATCAGCTGCAGGCTCTGCTGCAGGGGATCCAAAGCTGAGCAGACACAGAGCAGCATGAGGTGTGCAAGAAAACACATGGCAGAAGGGCTCCCAGACAGGACTGCCCCCCATTTTTACTGCTTTCTGCCGCCCTGTGATAATTCTTTAATCTGGTTCCCAATGTGCACTCATTGCTGTTTGTCCCATGGCTTTAGAAGTCAATACAGCTTTCAATCCAACAGTGATTTACAGATCCACAGTTCTCATCCATGCATTAAGGAAGTGCCATGTGTGCAACCTCATGGGCCAAATTCTCACCTGGAGTAAACTGTTGTGGAGAGGGACCTTTGGGGAGCGAGGCTGTCCCTGCTGCTCCCAGTACAGGCTCAGAGCAGCACATATCCCAGAGCTCAGGGCTCACCGCAGATGGAAACAGCCCAGCCCCTTTTCTGGGGTTATTAATGCCTTTTTTTTTGTCCAAATGCTGGTTTCCAGAGACATCTTGTGGCTCTCACCAGCTATCACAGCTGAGTTGCTCCACATCCCAGCACGCTGCTCCTCCTGCAGGGTTGGACAGCTGAAAGACGCTTCCCAGGCTGCTTGCTGTTTGCACCCTCAGTGAGGTTTTGGATTTAGGTTTTTTTATGTGCATTTTCAACATTGTGTGACTGCCTTTCACATAGAGGTCATGTTAGGTTATGGGTGTAAGCACCAGAGTTGCAGGAGAGAAGATCTCTGTGGAGGTGCCATTGGTGTGAGAGCCCTTCCAGACTGGTGCTGTCACAAGACATCAGTGTTTGCTCCCAGGGCAGCACCCAGAACTGGTACCTCAGCAGCTAATGAAGCCCAGGGTGTTTGATTGCCCAGTTTTGGGGTTTCTTTTTTTGTTATTTCATTTGATGGCAATGCTACAAAGAGAACTATAAAGCAAAAGCATTTTTGCGAGGAGCAGGGGAAGGACAGTGTTGGCACATGGCAGAAGCTGGGGGATGGTTTGAATCCCTGTGTACTGAAGGCAGAAGGGCCCTCTCCAGCCCTTGCAGCAAAGATTTCCAGGAGCAGTTTCTCAGCTGAAATAGGAGAGATGAACCCTGGGGTGTGAAAGATGATCTTTTTCAGAAAAGGGATGGTAGGAATCAAATAGAAAGATTAAATCCCATGACTGTGTAGGTCCCATCCATCCACATTCTGACTGCATAGACAGTGATGTGATAGCACAGTCCTCCCAGACTGCAGGGAACAAGAACTGTTGGGCTTTTAAAATATTTTCAAAAGTAATGAATTAGCAGTAATTATTCAGAGGATAAAGATAAGTCATTTAAACCACTCAGTGTCAGCAGATCCTTTCTTGTAAACCTCTTGTTTAGACAACAAGCCCATCATTTTTTCTACCAGGGTGGCTTGTTCCAGCAAGCATGGGCAGCCCTGCATCCCTGAGCACATGCAGTGCTGCCAGCCAACTCCTCACTCATGGCCACAGAGCACAGGAGGGAGCAGCCAGGTTCAGGCAAGGAGATGAAGGCTGTTCCTCACGCCTCAGGCACACGAGGATTGTTGTGGTGCCATGCCACACAGGATCTGTCTGTCCAACACACAGTTTATCCTCCTCCCTTTCTGTGGGGAGATAGCAGCTACAGCTATGGTGTCTGAGCCAGCAGATTGCTTGTCTCCACCCAGCCAGGGATTCCCTTCCTGCTGCACAAAGAGAGCTTCATAGAAGAGGGTGATTTCAAATGTGTATCCCATAGTCACACTGACTCTTGTTGGGTCCAAGCCATCTATGCAATCTATACTTTCCCACTGGTGTATAATTTTCTTGGCACTTTCCTTGCAACAGGTGGACTGCAAAATAAGGAAACATAATGTGACTGCTTCACTCTTGACTAAGAAGAAAGATTTACTGCAGAAGACACATTGCTTACAGTTTTATGGAGATTTCTTATCTAAAGCCATGTAACACCCTATGGCGGGGGGCCACAGTGTTGAGAAAGTCTCAGAACATCCAAGCAAATGTTTTCAAGCAGGAAAGGAGCCAAGTTACCACGTCTGTGCACAACATCAGGACGCTGGGCTGGGAACTGTAGCTGAGATCACATGGTGCTCTAACCCCACTTCGCCTGTCTGGTGTCCAAGGAACCTTGTGTAATTCATCCAGCCCTGGAGGAGAGAAGACACCACAGATGAAAAATGACTTCCCAAGTGCCCAGGACAATGTGTTGGCTGTGCTGACTCAGACAGCTTGCTGTGCTCTGTCCTTGAGCTAATCATCAGTGTCTCCATCCAAGAGGTGGCCAAGCCCACAGCACAGAGTCTCACACCAGCGAGAGGCCAGGACACAGATCCCTTCACCCACGGCTGTGAGCAGGTCCACACCAGATATGATAATGTCTCCTGGCCTCTTACAGATGTAAGGCATCTGATGAAGAAGACAGAGAGAGAGAGCTGCTGTCCCTGCCTTGCTGCTTGAGGTGGTTTTCCTGTGTGGGTTTGTAGTTCGGTGCAATGTCCACAGCAAGAACCAGCCCCTCTGTCACAGACACTGCTAAGCACCAAGCATGTCATGAGTTACAACTACTAAACAGCAAGGCAACACTAATAAATCTTAACCTGAAGGCTGATAAACTGTAAAACACAACATAAAATATGATGCATGGGTTGGTGTTGAGAGTCCAAGCCTCTGATCTCTTCCCAGAGGGTGCAAATTCTGGCTGATTTTTACTGATGGAACTCAAAGTGGGCCAGCTGCTGTCACCCAGGCTAAAGCCTGCCTCATGACTCTTATCTATGTAATTCCTGGTTATTAATAACTTTTATGGCTGATACGTGGGACTGAATGGTGTGTGCTTTTTCAGTGAGGATAAACCATTCAATCATGTAAAGCATCGCCTAAGACATGTTGCTAGATGAATCATTTAGGTTGATTGAGGGCTGTGTAAGTGATATATTAAAGATGTGCCAAGCAACATTCCTTGATGGGGAAAATTATGTGTTTTCTGGCAGATTCATAAGCTAAGGAATTCATCTGTGGGTTGTTAAGGAGATTATTGTCTGGTATGTGTGTATATACATGGGAGCGGGAATACCAGTCAGTCCATTTTAGTAGATATCCAAAATAATCTTGGTTTGCTGAAATGAAACCATCAGCCCACTCTGATGCTGGGTAAACTTCTGACTCATCAAATCAAAGCGATTCTTTCTGTAATTCTTATGCCAAGGGAGAATTTGATCCATGGGTTTCAGAGACAGGATCCGTGTGGGACATGACCAGCAGAGTGGACTCAGTGAATATAGTTCCCTGTTAATGTCAAGAGAATTTCTTTCTAGGACCAGTGAAAGGATGGCTAAATATTTCTGTAACTCTAGCAAAGTTTTGGATAATGTGAAAAGTGCAATAATTATCAAAACCAGTTCAATTCCTCTTATTTTGATCCATACATTAAAAAAATTCCTAGCAACAATCCTCTTTCATTTAAGGCGGTCCATGCTGTGACTTAAAACTGACTTAACTAGGAGAAAAGATTCATTTTAACCCTGCAAGAAATTTTTGGTGCCTATGATGCCATCCCAGGGCAAATGATAATGCCTCCAGTTCCACAACCACTCTTTTAGGAAGATCTGGGTTGGCAGGGCTGGGCACAAGGTCTGGCTGGGGGCAATGTCCAGCCCTACACTGCCACCAAAACAGCATCTGCCCTGAACAGATGAACTCTTTGCCATCTACCAACACTCACATCAAGGAGAAATGAGAAAAAGCATGATCAGAGAATATATTTTGCAATACCTACATGTTTAAAGCATTTTCTTTCTTTTCATTTTGCTGAAAATCAAGTGTGTGTCCCTGCCCCTTGAGCTCCCACACTCTCTCCTTTCAGCTGGAGCTCAGTATGGTCTTAGTTTGGATTGCCATTCAGTTCTTCAGGCTATCTTATAAAAGTTTGCTTTAGTTTATGTCATTTGTGCCAATCTATGTCTCTGAATCTGAATTTCACGTTAGAAACATGAAGACAGCACTGCAAATGGCAGTGTGCTGTACAATCTGAACTTTGCATCATCGCTTTCAAAGCAGGGTTATTTATTGTCTCACGAGCTGTTTTGTAGGATTTCCTAGTTTATAGTTGGTACTTTCCCATGTCTTCATTACATACTGTAACTTTATCATCCTCCACTGAAGGATTTTAAATCACTGCTTAGTTTCTGTCCTGTATCTTCCATCCAAGGGCATGCAGCCCTTTTCTGTGCCTCCTCCTATCAGTTGAAAAAGTATGGGAAACCCCATTTTTGCATGTTTCTCCCTAATATTTGGCTTCCCTGCTTTACTCTGATTCTGCTCAATGTGCCACCAATGACGGAAGGGGCTCAGAGAACACTGATCTCCACGGAGAGGAGAGAGACAATAATTAATAACATTAACTCTATGTCACGGACAAAACTAGCTTATGAAGAGCCCAGAGAGCTTGCAGACGGGGAGCTTATGGTCACATCAATCAGCTGAACAAGCAAATGAGAGAGGCAGGCCCTTAAGCCCATTTACTCAGCGGCTTGGTGCTCCACAGAACTCAAGTACTTTGGCTGTCTCTCTGTGTGCTTTATAAGGTTATTCTGACCATTATACACCTCACCTTCACATTACCCATGGTGGCTTTGAGAGATGTTTAAAGTGAACTTCAAAGAAAGCTTAGGGTTGCTTAATGCTGTTGAGGGAACTTTAATATGCAGTAGCTTGGGCAAGGTTTAATCCACAGGGAAGCATGCCAGGGTACAAATCCCAGAGTGGTCTGCAGACCCTTTGCCTTGGCCTGCAAGGATGGGCATGGCTGGATACTGCTCTGATGGGAAAACAAATCCTGCTATGGATGCAGCCTTGGCCACTGAAGGAATATTTTTCTAGGTTATACTATCGAGAGGATGCAAGGTGCAGGTAACATTAGGTCAGTCTGGGCAGAGGCTCTGCCAGCTGCAAGTGGACAAGACTTAGGTGGTGGCTATTTCTTTATAGTAGCATAAGTACAAACATACTGATTAAAGGCTACATGTTTGAAAAGCTATGACTACCTGAACAGCTTCCCAAGCAATACTCGGTGCTATGAGGGTGATGATACCGTGATCCTCTCCCCAAACCTCTCTTCTCAGCAGAATAGACCAAAGAACACTCAAGTTCAATTAAACATATCAACTGTCCAGTAAAGAAATTAGTTGTACACTCTCAGCTAGTCTCCAAGGAGCCTGAGCTCCTCAGCTGGCTGAACCAGATAATATCTTTCAGCTACTTGTTGGGAGCGCGCATTCCTTGGGAAAGCTATGATAAACCCGGCACTTAACAAGGCTCACAAACCAACTAAACAGCTGTGGGAGACATTTGGTGCATTCGACAGTAAAGACAGGAATGCTTTGAAGAGCAGGCTTGTAAGGCAGAGCTCTGTCAAGCAGCTCTGGAGCGGCCCGGCGAGCGGCTGGGGCGTATGGAGCGAGCTCAGCCTTTATGACTCCACAGCCCAGCAACTGCCCTCCTGGCCAGCCTGGCCGTGATTTATCCACCCCATCGCGCTCCCTGCATGTTCCAGGGCTCTGTTTCACATTAACTCATCAGCAGGTTGCAAAGTTAGCAAGCCTGGAGAAAAGCTTTTTAAGAGAGACCCTGCGGATCATCATCTCTTTGCGGCAGAAGGGAGCAGGAAGGGAGGAGGTCGCCTCCTGCTCCTTCCAGCCATCAGCTCCTCCGTTCAGCAGATGTGAATAGTCTTCACTCCTTCCAAGGAAGAAGTGCAGGAGCAAAACAGACTTTGAGCTAGTCAAAGTTACTCATGGCTTTATACTTTTATAAATTGTTCCTCCTGCTTGGAGAGTGCTGGAAAGCACTGTAGGAAATGCAGCCCTGGGGACACCAGGCATCTACCTGGATATGTTACAGTCAGAGTGTGCAGAATTTTATTTTTTATTTCAAGATACAATATTGTGCCACCTTTCCTCAAAGAAAAAAGGACTTGAAGTTGCTTCATCATAACACAGGGCAGGAAGGGGCTGCATTCTCACCCATGTTTCCACCTTTCCCAGTTTCCCCTTCTTCAAGGAGGTGCTGAGCATTTTCTGTCCCCTCGATCATAGGGCACGTGCCAGGGAGCTCACAGCATTGGGCCTGGGAATGAAGAGGTCAGGTTCAAGTTATCTTCATACAGATGCTCTCAGAGACTGAAGAATATCCAGATTTTTGACAAAAACATCAAGTTTACTCTGAGTTGTTACCCCTAAAAGGAGATCATAGAATCACAGAACCTGTTGAGCTGGCAAGGCCCTTTTAAAGGTCACATAGTCCAACCTCCCTGCAACGAGCAAGGACATCTTCAACTAGATCAGGTTACTCAGAGCCCAATCCAACTTGGCCTTGAATGTTTCCAGGCACAGGACATACACCACCTCTCTGGGAACACTTCCACCTTTCTCCAGATGATGGATTATTTCACAGAGCCAATTGGTAATCACTGTGATTTAGAAATTCACCTCTGAGATCCTTCCTTGCATAAGCAGCAAAGGAGAAGGTACTGGCTAACTGTGAAACACCTCTGTGAAACCTATCATGATATTTTGAATTTTCATGGTAGATATTTCGGTAATCTGAACCAAAGTTTACATCTTTCCAGAAGGAAAGATTTAAACATCATCACACACATGCACAAAAAAAAAAATAAAATAAAACTCGAAAAAAACCTTTCCCCATCTATGCAGGACTTTTACCATACCTTTTAGCGCCTGTCTAGAGGAAGAGGCAGAGCACAGGCTTGTGTCTCTTGCAGTGAATGCTCAGCCAGGGCTCCCGGGGAGCTGACACTGCAGCCGGTGGCCGGCTGGCCCCGCAGCCCGGGGAGAGGCTCCGGAGCGCACCACAAGGTGGGGATGCTGCAATGCTGAATGGCAGCGGCTCCGGGCCGGGATAATCACATCCATCTCTGTCTGAGATGACGTTTCTAGCAGCCAAAAGCCAATATTAGGTATGGTAAGGTACACTAAGCGAGGTATACTTAGCCCTGCAGAGCTTGCTTCACGTCCTACCCCACACTGTATCTCCTACATAATCCGGCATTAAATGTTTTAGAGAACATTGGTGCAAGTGTGGCTTGGTCGTGGGGTCCCCAGAGTCTTTTCTATCACCTGGAGAGGCAGCACTGAGGCTGCTCCCGAGGCTAGGGTGAGCCTGCAACACACAGCAATGCTGTGGAGAGGAGAAATCTGATGTGCCTCTTATTTTTAATGCAAGAGCAAGGTGACACCACCGTCAAAAAACGGTGATGGATTTCAAGTAATTAAGGGAGCCTCCTCCTCTAGAGACTCAGCTGGGCTGGAAAAGTCAGTGCTCTGTGCTCCCACTCAATATTACTTGTTTTCCACAGGCAGATGCCACAGTGAGAGCAATTCCTGTGCAGAGGAAGTGGATGATGGCTCCTTAAAAACTCCAAAAGACAAGTTTTAGAGCCTGGCCTTGCAGGGCAGTGTGCAGTCAGTGGGCAACACAGAGGCATTTCCCTCCTGCACATTGAGCACCTCTTCCTGCTCTGAAACTCCCTGCTCTGCCAGGGGTGCCAGCAAAGAGTGGCAGGCTCGGGGCTGTGCCTGTGAGTTCTGCTGCCAGCACCTGAGCACCTGCCCTCCTGCTCTGCCTGCACCTCACAGGCTCCTGAGCATCCCAGGCTGGGTGACAGTGATCCTTCCCACCAGCTGGGAATGGGGCATCTAGCATAAAGAATATGGGCAAACAATAGCTGTGATACTTCTTGGAGTTAACAAAGTGACTGACTAGAAAAGAGAACTGGGATGTTGATTAAAGTCTTCAAATATGCAAGAGGTTTTTATGAAGAGGGCAGCAGTCAATTGCTCTCCATAGCTACCAAAGGGAGAACAAAAAGGAATGAGCTGAACATTTAGCAACAGAGCTTCTTAGTAGGCATTTGGGAGAAAAATATATCCTTTCTGGCTGCAAAGGTACACATTAGGACAGGTTATCCATGGAGGGCTGGGAGTCTCTGAGTTTTTAGAGCTCATAGCTTATGTCAGGAATAACCTTAGGACCCTCCCAGACCAATAATTTCTGCCTTTGTGCTTTCAACATTTCCCTCCTGCAGGTCTTGCTTTCATATCCCCAGGGATAAAGCTTGTCAGAGAGATTCTCTGTGTCTGGGGAGAGTTTCCCCTAGTCATCACCCATCTGATGTGGTTCTTGGAGATTTTCTGACACCATTAGAGACGTCTCATCCTCTTCATTCAATTCTATTAGTTCCTACATTGCCCTAACCCTTTCCCATTTTGATTTCCAGGAGCCCTCTCTGCTCTGAACATCCCAGCTCCTTGTCCCTCTGCCTGCAGGAGCAGTCTCAGGTTTTGTCTGAAATGTTTTATCTCTGTACAGAGCTGCCTCTTGCTGGACTAGGAGTGGGTGGGTAATTGATCACATCCTAGTGAGGCTAACAGGGATTTTGCACGACATGTGGCACAGCCTTTTCTAAAGCCTCAGTTCAGCAGCAACCTTGGACACCTCAGAAAAGATGTGTGGGTAAACATGAACCCACAGCTCTGCTTAACCAACTGATTTAATTTCAGTGTTAAAGCAGGGTCAGGAACAATGGAAACAGCCCCTCAAGTCAGGCTTCATGGAGCAGATGTGCTTAGTGGTTTAGAGGGCACATGGTGGTTTTGCTGAGTTTCCTCCTTGTGTCCAGGCAGCACCAGCAGGTGGGTGAGTGTAAGCACCACCCCTGCAGCAAAAGCACTGCTTAAAACATCATCATTTTCACTAAAATATCCACTATACCCCTATGTCAAAAATGGCCAGATCCACCTTGGCTTTGTGGCTTCAAGCAGGGAAAATCTGAGCCCCTGGATGTCACACATCTTCTGTGTTGAGGTGATTTCCTTCTCTTACCCTGGGCTGGAGGTGCATCAGGAAAAAGCCACACCTTCAAGCCATAAACCCAGAGCAAATTGCAGCATGGCTGAAGTGTGCACACGAGCAGGCTGAGCATTTCATTGAGAAAGAGATAAAGAACCAGTGAAAAACAATGGCAAGTTCAGCTCTCCTTCAGCTCAGAGTGGGACAGAGATAAACCACCCCTAGAAACTGCTCTGGCCAGTCTGCTGGCCAAAAGCTGTCACTGGTGTTTAGAGAGAGTCATTTGTAGGGGAGGAGTTATGCTATGAACTCACCCAGTTTTGGTTTTGGTTTGTGTTTATGAGACAGCTTCAAGAAGACAAAAAATAATTGTGCAATAATCCTACCAGTTTATTTTCACTGCTTATCATCACAGCACTGCAGATTTGTAGTAAGGAGGTCTCCATGTGCCCACAGATTTGGAAACCTGTGTGACTGACTTCCCCAGGCAAACATCTGGAACAAACATCTGGAGCACCATTCCAGAGCAGCTGCTGCTCTGGGAGCCTGGCAGAGGTGTGCTCCCAGCTCAGCCCTCAGATATTCACCAAAACTTCATAAGACTTCTCCAGCTCTGGTGGATGTGAAGGAGCACAGAAGGAATACAGCATTTATTTGCTCCCAGCAGCAAAGTGCTGCCAAGCAGCTCAGAGCCACTTACCCGGAGGTAGCACAGCCAGGTGCCACACCCACCCCACACCTCAAAAAGAGAACTGCCACTGGGAAAAGAAATTCTGCTTTCTGGTTTTTTCTTCTTCTTCTTCTTCTTCTTCTTCTCAGTATTATTTTTCTGATCCCAACACTTTAGAAAAGGCCACACCAATGACCTGTGCTCATCTCAGCTCTTTTTCTTCCTCACATGGAGCTCAGGGGCTCAGGACAGTGATCACAGAGGCTTTTGTCCTCTATCAAAACCTTTAGCAGATAAACAAGGAGAAAACTAGGAATATAAACAAAATGGATTTTTTATTTATTTGTTTTCATCCTAAATCCTTGTCCTTTATGAAGACCTAGTAGAAATGTGTTTTTTCTCCTATTGCCTTATTGATTATCCACAGAGGACTGAGGGATACCCAAACCTGAGCCCCAGCTCAGCATCTGACACTCATCATCCAGTGATGGACAGAAATTCCCATGAGACACACCTTGGTGGTGGAAATCCAATAGGACTTGCTTTTTCTTTGCAGAAAATTGGATTATAAAATCTGTCCCTCCATAGACAGATTTTTCAAGATGGTCTGTAAAAGTGCATCTTCATCCCTGGACCTCTTTGTGCCCTTTGAACTGAACTAAAATGTATTTCAAGGAGGTTTTCACTTCTCATGTTATTTTGAGGCAAGAAGAGTCTTGGCAGGGCAGGCAGTATAAAAAATAAGTGCATTAATGAAGAGTGGGAGGGGAGGTCATTTGCCTGTTATTTGTAGCACAATACCTGATAAGAGGTCATTAGTCATTCAAAACCACTGAATGACTTTAATTAAAATTTGATCTTTGAGAGCTGGGAACAATCTGCTGAACAGACTTCCAGGGCAAAAAGACAGAGAGAGGG